ATTTGTACCCTTCAGCAGTTAACACTATATCCAAGTTCCTTTTCCAGTCAATATAATTGGGACCAACAAGTTTGTTTTCTTTGAGAATTACGGACAACGGATTGAAAGACATTTTGAATTCCTGGGATCATGAAAACATAGTCTATACTCAGTCAAGTAGTTTTGAATTTATACATCAAATATTGATCCCATGTAACAATATTCAAATAAATTCACCAACACCTCAAAACACTGAATCCCCGCAGGCCACGGAGTGTGGACGTCTACGGTTCAAACATTCGCAAGAGGAGGGATAAATCCCATTAGCTTAACATACTGCCGAGCAATACTTAACTAATAGTCGGTTTCATCTTTTGGCCAGCGCAATTAACTTTATAAAAGAATAAAAACAACCTTATCCTTTGGGACTATCGTAATTATTTGCACTTTAAGTGTAACACATTAATTGGTACTAAGTTTACTACCAAAATTTTATGTCTACCTTTGGGTTACCCTTACGCTTTTGAAATAGCTCATTATAACCATCCCGAAGGAGATTCGTCCTTGTCAACTGTGAAATAAAACGTCCTTTGGGCTCGGATTAAATCACTTCACTGACAAACCTATAATGGAGGCCTTGGATGTAATTTATTTCAACCCATTACACACTTAATATAATTTTTATTTTATGAGATTTTCTAAAACATGTTTGTTTTTTCACATAAGCAATCACATAAAACATGCATGATTAATGAGCAATAATAAACTAGGAACTATAATCCAACTATCATGGCCATTAATCAATCTCCAATGTTACGGAGAAAACACAGTCCTGTCCTTGTTGAGTGTATTCTCCGTTTCAGGTATTGGAACTCCCCTTTCGCAGTGACTCCCACTGAATTGGTTGTCTCCGAAAAAGTCGTAATTGGATCATCACCATAGCATCCTTGTACGTGTTTATCGCCTCGCCCCGTCAAGGTTGGTCCACGCCCGACGGATCAATAATGAATAATACAAAACAATTACATAATTCATCCTATGACCCACGCAGGAGCCGTACATGAGTTTCTATGAAAGCAATAAACTATGCGGTGTCCTACCGCACGAATAATTTATTACAAGATTTTTTTTTTTTTTTTCCAAAATGACAGAATAAATATCATAAACTCAAAGAAGGACATAGTCCAAATACAAGGGCAGTACAACTAGAATACAAACCTAAAAATGAGAGACACACCCGAAGGTGGCCTAGAGCCTCAACAAGAGGAACAAGGACAAACTAAAAGCAACTAAGGAAAAAAAATTCCTTCTACTGCCAAAGGCCTAGCAAGAAATTTAAATCCCGAAAAAGAAATTGAAAATCTAATCTAAAAGAAAAGAAGTCAAGAGCTACAAGTAGAGGAGAACTGAATCCAGTCAGCATGGGCTATCTTAATAACTTGAGTTTCTGGCATCAAGCAGTGCTGAAACACCCAAAGGTTCCTTGATTTCCAAAGCCACCAAAGGATGTAATTAGAAAGTTGGATCCTTGCTTCAGTGACTTCAGTATAATCAAGGGAACAAATTTTGAACCACCATTCTTTGAAAGAGTCTGTGCTACTGAGAAGACCTTGCCATGAAACAGGTGCAATGTCCCATACTCTGCAAGCTCTGGAGCAGGAGAGAAGAATGTGCTCTATAGTTTCAGCTGCATCTCCACAAATGGAACAAATGGGATCAATATTAACCTTCCTTTTCCTTAGAAGAACTGCCACAGGAAGAGTTCCAGTGATACACTTCCATAGAAAGTGTTTCAATTTTCCAGCTACCTTGACTTTCCAGAATCTGAATTTTACTGATTTGCAGATGGAAGTGTTGGAACTACACTCAGGAATATCAAGTAGATCAAGCTTAACCGTGGAGAGAAATTTGTAGTGCAAGCTACAAAAAACTGACCCTTCAAATAAAGCCCCAAATAAAGTCTGTCATGCCTGTCTGGATGAAGAGTAGAAACTCTGAGGATTGCGTCACTATCCAGAGGATCAAATACCTGTCTAACCAACCATTGATTCCAAGAAAGACCATCAGAGTTGATAAGTTCTTTGACCCAAATTAGATTCTCTCTGGTCAAAGGAATTAAAGTTGGAGAGAGCTTGTGCAGAGAAGACACCCAATTGAAATCAACTCTTTGAGTTTTCATGCCATTCCTTATCTCAGTTTTCAGCCACTTAGAGAAAAAAGGAATTACCTCCATCCAATAGTTCCACATCCAAGAATCCTTTGAAGTTTTAGTAGCATGAGTGATGGCAGAATGAGGGAAGTATCTGTCCTTCAAAAGTTTACTCACTAACAGCTCTGGATGAGAAGCAATTCTCCATAGTTGCTTGCAAATTAATGCCTGATTAAAAACCTGCATACCAAGAAAACCCAATCCTCCATCTCCCTTAGGTAAAGAGAGCAAACACCACTTTTTCCAATGAATACCTTTAGAATGAGGATCACCAGACTGCCACCAGAATTTAGCACACATTTGGGAAATGTCAGAGCAAAGAGTTAAAGGAAGTTTAAAACAAGACATAGAGAAGATTGGTAGAGCTTGAATGATTGCTTTAAGCAGTACTTCCTTACCAGCAGGACTTAGAAGCTTAGATTTCCAGTTTTGAAGCTTGTTTCTTATAGAATCTATAATGTATTCAAAGACTTCTTTTTTTGACTTGCCAATTCCAAGGGGTAAACCGAGGTACCTGGTTGATTTGTGGCAGATAATACCATTGAGAGCATTACAGATTGCCAGTTTCAAGAGCTCAAGAGTATTTCTGCTAAAGAAGATGGCAAATTTGTTCAGGTTGACTGCTTGCCCTGTAAAAAGTCTGTATCTCTCAAGAATGTTCATAAGAATGGCTGCCTGATCAACCCCTGCTTTACAGTAGAATATAGAGTCATCTGCAAATAATGAATGAGTAAGCAGGGGCCCATTCCTAGAAAGTTTGAGTCCTTTAAGATGACCAGATTCAACAGATTGGAGAATCAAAGCTGATAGAAGCTCTTCAACAATGAAGAACAGGTAAGGGGACAGGGGGTCCCCTTGCCTAATGCCACTGGATGGACTAACGAAACCTCCCACAGTGCCATTAATTTTAAAGGAAAATGAATCAGTGGTAATGCACCCCATGATCAGCTTGACAAACTTACTGTGAAAACCCATCTGAAGAATAATTCTTTGCACACTAGTCCATTCTACACGGTCAAATGCTTTAATCAAGTCAAGTTTTAGAGCCATGAAGAAGTTAGGGCCTGAAGTGTGTCTATTCAAAAAGTGAAAGGCTTCCTGAGCAATTATAACGTTATCCATGAGTTGTCTCCCCTCAATAAATGTAGATTGATGATCACTAATGCAGGAGTTAAGACAAGATTTCAACCTCTGAGCCAACACTTTAGAAATAACTTTGTAGATTACAGTACATAGACTTATAGGACTAAAGTGACTAACTGTTTCTGGGTTTGAGAACTTAGGAATTAATGTGAGAATGGTATGATTCCAATATTTCAGCAACATACCTGAATCAAAAAAACTGAGAATTGCTGCAATGAGGTCAGTTTTGACAAGCTCCTAGAAGTGTTGATAGAAAAAGGAGCTCATCCCCTCCTCACCAGGAGCTTTATCAGCAGGCAGTTTGAAAAGAGCTGACTTATTTCTTCCTCAGTGACAGGTTTAAGAAGGTCATCATTCATCTCAGCTGAAATGGTTTAAGGAATTAAGTGAAGAAGAGAATCTCCACCCCAGCTGCCTTCAGAAGAGAATATGTTTGAATAGAATTCAGAAATGTGGCCTTCAATGTCTTGCTGCGAAGTCAAGATTCTTCCTTGATTAGAAACAAGCCTAGTGATTGCATTTTGCTTTCTTCTTTGAAGTGTGAATGCATGAAAAAACTTGGTGTTGGCATCACCCTCTTTCAACCATCTCTGTCTTGATTTTTGTTGCCAATATAGCTCCTCCTGAATATGAGCTTTGTTAAGAGCTCTCTTTGTTTCATCCCAGGTAGCCCATTTATTCCCCCATTTTATCCTCATTCAAAGTATTCATCTGATGGGTGAGTTCTTCAATTGAAGCTTGGTTCTAAGATCTAAATGATGAGCTCCATTTGAGTAGAGCTATTCTGGTGTGCTTGATTTTTTCTTTGAGTCTGAAAAAAGGAGTTCCTGAGACTGGGATGAGCCATGCCTGTTTGACTGTATCTGCAAATCCATCTCTGCCAACCAACCGTTTATCAAAATGGAATCTTGACTGTTTCCAATCTGAAAGCAATCCAGAATTTAGGAGGAGGGCTGAGTGATCTGAAGAACTCCTTAAAATGTTAGTCACAGAAGCATTGGGAAAGGTCTGGTGCCAATCCAGTGAACCAAATGCTCTATCCAGCTGCTCTTCAACTAGTTCATCAGGAACTCTATTGTTGCACCAGGTGAAGGGGTAACCTCTCATGTTGAGTTCCTCCATTTCCATACCATCAATGAAAGAGTTAAATGGTCTCAAACTTGCAGTGCTTCTAACCATACCTCCTTGTTTATCTGAAGCCTTACAGATATCATTCCAATCCCCTATAGCAAACCAACAAGAACCCCAGCTAGATTTTTGTTGCAATAATTCCTCCCATTGAGCTGTTCTAATAATCCTGCAGGGATTCAGGTACACAAAAAGCCCCCACAGAGGAGTGCTAGAAGGAAGAGAGAATTTAACAGCTATAAAAAATTCTTTACAAATAATTTGCTCGATAACAACATTAGAATCCCAAAAAAGAACTAGGCCACCACTAAGGCCAGTAGGATCAACTATAGCAAGCCTATCTGCATAACCTAACTTAGAGCCAATAGATTTAACAAAAGATTTTTGCTTTTTAGTTTCAGAGAGGAAAAGAAAATTGGGGTGATGAGCTTTAATTAGCTCTCGCAATTGGGAAATTGTAGAGGGCCCACCAGCCCTCTACAATTTCACACCAAAGCTAACATTGAGAATGTTGGTGCCAATCCAGTCTGGCATCCCCCACCTTCTGTAATTGCAACTTGCTTTTCTTTGGAACTGATTGGTTTTGCAGAGAGTCGTCTGGAGAGGCTGAATTATCCTCGTCCTCTATTCTTGTCCTTTTCCCTTTTGGCTTTTGATCAGAGATTATAATACTGGTAGATTCCCTGAGTAGCCTGCCATCCTTGCTTCGGTCCCTTCTCCATGTCCTCAACAATTGAGCAGTCTGAGATGGGAGGGTTTCACTAATGCTGTAATTTGAGATAGGGTGAGGAGATTCTGGATCAACTTCCATAGCCTTGGATTTGTAAGATTCAACAATTTGCAGAGATGATTCTACCAGAGCTTCTTGATTACTAGGAGAATGTGAGGCAGATGCAACTGAATCTTGATCACCTTCATTAAGGGTCGCAGGTGTGACATCAGGAATGTGGATGAGTTGCTGACTAGTCTCAGCTTGATGAGAGGATATGTGAGGATGAGACATGTGCTCATTTTCTTTGGGAGACTCTGTGTGAGGAGTTCCTTTAGAACCTGATGATGTAGGATCAAACCTTTTCAATCCTTCTGACACCTTCATAAAATCATCATACTGTCCTTCTTTAAGAGAATTGTTGTTGATGTCTGTGATTCTCTTTGAGCAGTTGCGGTCTAAATGTCCAATCATACCACAATAAAGACTGAGATTTAAGAGTTTCTCATATTTGAAGCCAACCTGAGCAGTTTGTTCTCCAAGCCTGATATTAGATACACGAGGTAAAGGCTCCTCCAAATTTAAGGTGACTAACAGTCGCAGATATTTTCCTCCATGGTTATCAGCATTGGCAAGAACCACATTCTTCACTTGCTTAAACACTTTGCCAATTTTTAAACCAACTTCAGTGCTTAACCAGTCCAACGGGGTGTTTGTTACTTGAACCCATAAATTAAGCTCATTAAAACATGGATGCTTACTTGAGATGCCCATTCTCCATTCTTTGAGAACAAGATATTGATTTTCAAAGCTCCAGTTGATTCCATTGGCCACCTTCAATTTATCTTCTCTGCTTTGAAAGATGAACTGGAAGTAATTTGGGCTGAGTTCCTTTATCTCCATATCATGAGAGAGTCTCCAGATGTTCGTCATCGTTCTCTCGACTCCAATCCAGCTTGTTGTTCTATCCCCAATAATTTTCCCAAAAAGACTTCTGCTACATTCATCCGCACTTAAGGTGATGTCAGATCTTGCTATAGATCTTGCAATATCAATATATGTGGCTTATTTATCTGAGAGAGAAAAAAACTCTCAATTGATTCGAAAGATCCTCATCTGGGTTTTCTGGCATTGTGCCCAACCCTAGTACCAGCTAGATGCGAGGGAGATTGAATACAGAGAAAAGGGATAGAGAGGGTAAGAGGGTGCGAAAAGAACACGATCAAATATGGATAAGAACCTAAAATGTGGCCGGAGATCGGAAAAATCACAAGCTCCCACCTGAGAGAATCGCAAGCTCCCACCTGAGAGAATCGCAAGCTCCCATAGCGATCGACTGGGATCGGGTGGCTTCCGGCGACGAAGGACGGCAATGATGTTTTCCGGCAGCTTCTCACGGCTGCGATGGGCGGCGATGTGATGATGATGATGACCGGAATTATATGTATATTAGAGGCTCAATATATTGTACCAAAAAGCCTTTTAATGGATTACCGAAACATCTACTTCGATCAAACTTGGTGGAGCGTTTAATCGAATCTCCCTAACTCTCGAACAAAGATATTTCTCGCGCGTATGTAGAGGAGAAAATAGGCCAACACATCTATGTAGGAGAGACTGGGACATGGTGTATTTATAGGCTCCATTAGGGACCTTAAG